TCCCTTCCAACTCTATTATTCTGTTATCCATCATTTAAAGCCGCCACATCTCTAAAATTAGCTCAAAAGCTTTGACTGTAAACTATTTTGGGACATTTTTCCAGGCTTGAAAGACATAGATTTTTTCCATATATACTTTTGTAGGAGTGTGTATCTGTATTTCTCTCTGTATGCATATATCTGGAATTATATAATCTATGCCCATCACTTCCAGATGTATTTGATGATAAACCTTTGCATTGCTAAGGATTTGTGATTGACCAAAGTCAATAAGAAATTTTACCCAAATCAACAAGTGAATTTGATTGAATGGATATTTGAACATGGATGTCGGTAGTCTTCCATGTATCAGATGAATCATAAACAACGTAAAAGATTATTCTATCATTGTGGCATGTTTGCTTTTTCATTGTGATGTATACTTCTCTTCTTTTTTCACACCTCTCACCATTTTATAAAAATTAAAGTTACACTTTTCCTTAAATCTTGTAGAAAAGAGGATGGGAAGAAGAGCACTCTGGACAGCTAAGAATAACAAGCAACATTGAAAAGGAAAGCAAACCGAGCCAGAAATCAAAATATTTTCCATTTTCTTCAGAAAACCACACAATTCTCCTCTTCCTCCAGCAGCTCTTAGGAAAAAAAGAGAGAAAATCAAGAAAAATTTCAAACTGGAATACGTAGATTATTCAGAACTCAAGGATACTTTACATGAAAAGTGAAGGGAGATTATTTTTAATTCATTAAAAGAGTGAAATATCTGGAAGTCAATTGGAGGAAAAGGTGAGTATGAAAGGCACGTAGAGCAGAGAGTCATACAGGCCTCGTACTGTGAGGAAGATAACAACTTGAATGAAAGCACCACTAAACAAGGGATTATCCATATTTTTTACTTCCTCAAGAATATCAGCTGTGGAAAAGCTCCATAGTTGTGTCTATTGTTAGAAAAGCATAGATTGCAAATCACAACTGATTATGCACAAGAGGAGCCACACAGCAGAAAAGCCATACAAATCATCTGATTGTGGCAAAAGCTTTAGTCAGAACAGCTCCCTTGTAGTTCATGGAAGGACCCACACAAGAGAAAAGCCATAAAAGCACTCCTAGTGCAGTAAATGCTTTAATGACCATGGCAACGTGATGATACATCAGAGGATTCACAGCAGAGAGAAAACGTATGACTGTACTGATTGTGCGAAAGTTTCATTACAAATTCCCATGTCATGAGGCACCATAGGAGATACACAGAAGAGAAACACTTTGAATGTGCTATCTGTGGGGAAAGTTTCAATAGAAATTCCCATCTGGTGAGTCACCAGAGGACTCACACAGGAGAGAAATCCTTCGAATGTCCTGATTGTGGGAAATGTTTCAGTCAGAATTCCTGCCTTGTGAGACACCAGAGGACTCACACAGGAGAGAAACCCTTTGAATGTCCTGATTGTGGGAAAAGTTTCAGTCAGAATTCCTGCCTTGTGAAACACCAGAGGATTCACACAGGAGAGAAACCCTTTGAATGTCCTGATTGTAGGAAAAGTTTCAGTCAGAATTCCAGCCTTGTGAAACACCAGAGGACTCACACAGGAGAGAAACCCTTTGAATGTATTTATTGTGGGAAAAGTTTCAGTCACTATTCCATTCTGGTGACCCACCAGAGGACTCACACAGGAGAGAAACCCTTTGAATGTCTTGTTTGTGGGAAAAGTTTCAGTTGCAATTCCCACCTGGTGAGACACCAGAGGACTCACACAGGAGAGAAACCCTTTGAATGTCCTGATTGTGGGAAAGGTTTCAGTCAGAATTCCCACCTGCTGACACACCAGAGGACTCACACAGGAGAAAAACTCTTTAACTGTCCTGATTGTGGGAAAAGTTTCAGTGATAAATGCAGAATTGTGATACACCAGAGGACTCACACAGGAGAGAAACCCTTTGAATGTCCTGATTGTGGGAGAGGTTTTAGTCAGAATTCCCACCTGGTGACCCACCAGACGATTCACACAGGAGAGAAACCGTTTGAATGTCCCGAATGTGGGAAAAGTTTCAAACAGAATTCCAGCCTTGTGAAACACCAGAGGACTCACACAGGAGAGAAACCCTATGAATGTCCTGATTGTAGGAAAAGTTTCAGTTGCAATTCCCACCTGGCGAGACACCAGAGGACTCACACAGGAGAGAAACTCTTTGAATGTCCTGATTGTGGGAAAAGTTTCAGTCAGAATTCCAACCTTGTGAAACACCAGAGGACTCACACAGGAGAGAAACCCTATGAATGTCCTGATTGTAGGAAAAGTTTCAGTTGCAATTCCCACCTGGTGAGACACCAGAGGACTCACACAGGAGAGAAACTCTTTGAATGTCCTGATTGTGGGAAAGGTTTCAGTTGCTATTCCAACCTGGTGACACACCAGAGGACTCATATGGGGGAGAAATCTTTCAAATTTCCAGTCTGTGGACGTTACTTCCCTCATAAATCATCCCTTATTGCACACGAGAAAATCCACACGAGGCAAAAGTTGAAGAATTTAGAAAAGGCTTGAAATTCATTCCCATTGAAACTGTAGTTGAGAAATTGACCATTTGAATTGTGGTCTGAATCTTTCTACTCAACCATGTCTCAGGACTAGACTTGTAGGTGGAGAGAAAAGGAAAATGGAAAAGGGCTAACTACCAATTTCTGGTTAGCAGCAGCAGCTACTGGATATTTCCTTTTGTAGAAGTTGTGGATTTCCTCAAAAAGACTTCTGGGTGGTAGTTTTGTATATTGATTATATAATTCCCACATGTGGAGTTTCAGGTCTTCTACCTTGGTTTCCTCCAGATTTTGAGCCCCAGAATTCCTGAGCCAGCGTAGAAAAGGTCCTCAAGATATAACTGTCATGGGCTTTGCAATAATGGTTGCATGTTGCAATGACGGTTAAGTGAAACCTCTTTCCTAAACTACCCTGATCTCTCTGATGCAGCCATTAATTTAATGTGTCAGTCGCTAAGTGGAACACTGGCGATCTCAGGGTTGGGGGAAGCTCTTCAAGGCCTAGTGTAGAAGAAATGATCCAACGCTGACACCTACTGGTGGATGAGGACTATAAAAACTATAAAACTTCTGTCTGTGGCCTTCAAAGTCTCAGTAAACATAGTTGCTTAGATAAAATGATATTTACAGAAACAATAGATGTTTTACAAGAGGAAATATATGATACGCTGCAATCCATTCAAAGGACAATGATCTCAAACCACAAAGAAATACAAAATAACTTTGAAAGTATAAATCAACTTCACTTCAAAAAAATCCTCAGAACACAGCAGAGATGATTGAATATAAATTAGAGGAAAAAGACTTAAAGATGGACTTTCACAAAATAAAAGAGTATGATTTAATTCAAGTGGAAGAAAAGACAACTTACATTTTAACATCACAAAACAAATTTGAAGACGAGAAAGGATTTGACGAAGAGACAAAAAGAAGTGGAGAAAAGAGGAAGGAAAAGGCTTTCTAATGGAAAGAAGAGGGCAAACGGTCAGGACAGAGACATTGATTTACTTTCTACATATACAGTAACACCTACGTATGGGAAAACCTTTGGATTCAGCAAAGTACATTGATTAAGAAAGATTCTGGGCAAAGAAAAAAGATTAAGATGGAAACCAAGAAAATAGATGATGGGACATATCAGCGAGAATACTTAAAAAAGAAACGTGTTTGAATATGGTTAAA